TTGGTGATCTGGCAAAGCCAAACACAAACCTGTAGAACACTGTCCAGTTATATGGAATCATACCCTCCTTTCTCTGCAAAGTGGTTGCATCCATTCATATTTCTGATAAAGTGCAACAGACATTGCTTGATAAAGTAGAATCACCCCCACATTTTTTCCTGTCCAACAGGAAAGAAACTTCTGTAGGCACAATGCCAATTATTTTTCTGAATTTCAAATAGATGTAAACAGCTTGACCAGGATAGATTGGTGTTCTTTTTGTTACATTTTATTTTTAAAAAGTGTTTGGTTAATAACCAAATGTCTGTAATGCAAATGAACAGACATATATACGAGTAATAGATAGTGCTTAATTATTCTCATACAATGCTTCCTAGTCTCTCAAAGAAATTCCAACATCTGAGCAGACTATTTTCCACTTGGAGAATTGCATCATATCCATTCCTCAATGTGCCAGGCTCACAATAAGGTCCGCTAGGTGTAAACAATTCATTCCTGCTGTGAAGCTAATCCTGTTGACACCTGAGGTCAACCTGGTGGCCACCAGGTGCTGGCCTTTTTGAGGAGGGATGCCCTCTCCTTGAAACTTGCTCTCCTCAGAGACCTGCCCAAGCTAATTAGATCACTCCAAACATTTAAGTGGGTTTTTAGAATAGTCACAATTTTTTTATTGTTTCATGTGGCTTTGTGTGGCATTGTTGCACTGCCTTTTCAGATTATTTCTATTTACTTGTAAGTATTTTAATGTTTGCTACTCTGTTTATTCATAAAGTAAATACGGATTAATTTTTGTGGAGAGATTATTTAAAATGTAAAAATACACAAATGTAGAAGTCATAGTTTGAGATCCCACTTCTTCATTGAATATTAAATGAATCTAATGGTCCATGACATTTATAGTATAATTCCCATGCATGGCTGCTCACAAATAATTCCCATTGCATATTGGAAGTCTTGGAATTACTTTCACTAAGTCTATAGATGCTTGCAGAGATAGTTTATGCCAATATTGTAATGTTATCAAATAACAGCAGTTACCAAACTGACAGAATCATAATTGTACCATGTTTACTGAATAACCAGGTGATCCTACATTCCTATGTAATAATACACATTTCACGCCTAGCCAAGGTATAAACTGAAGCAAATGAATGAATGAATAAATAAACTGTTGTCATGGTGAGAGAAATGAGCCCTGTTGCAGAATTTTCTTAGGTAAGATATCTGAGAAACCTGCTTGATTTTTTAAAAAAAAATCTGTCATGGCTAATTTCTCATCTTGTGGTGTCAAAACAGAATGTATGCTGAATACATCCATCAGGTACAGTTCACAAGGACGCTATCAAGTACAGTGGTGTCTCGACTTACAAACTTAATTGGCTCCAGAACTCCAGTTGTAACTCAAAATGGGCGTAAGTCTAAGCACCATTTCCCATAGGAAGGCACTGAAATGCAATTAATCTGTTCTGGCCAAAGAAAAAAATCACCATAACAACAACAACAACAACAACAACAACAACAACAACAACAACAACAACAAAAGTTGCTGCAAGACCATCAGAAACATGATTAATCCCTTCCAGCTGAAGGAGAGGGGAAGAAAAGCAATCAAGTGTGCAAGACCCATTGCAAATGCAAACAAAGCAAAGCAAAAAGCAATCAAGTGTGCAAGACCCATTGCAAATGCAAACAAAGCAAAGCAAAAAGCAATCAAGTGTGCAAGACCCATTGCAAATGCAAACAAAGCAAAGCAAAAAGCAATCAAGTGTGCAAGACCCATTGCAAATGCAAACAAAGCAAAGCAAAAAGCAATCAAGTGTGCAAGACCCATTGCAAATGCAAACAAAGCAAAGCAAAAAGCAATCAAGTGTGCAAGACCCATTGCAAATGCAAACAAAGCAAAGCAAAAAGCAATCAAGTGTGCAAGACCCATTGCAAATGCAAACAAAGCAAAGCAAAAAGCAATCAAGTGTGCAAGACCCATTGCAAATGCAAACAAAGCAAAGCAAAAAGCAATCAAGTGTGCAAGACCCATTGCAAATGCAAACAAAGCAAAGCAAAAAGCAATCAAGTGTGCAAGACCCATTGCAAATGCAAACAAAGCAAAGCAAAAAGCAATCAAGTGTGCAAGACCCATTGCAAATGCAAACAAAGCAAAGCAAAAAGCAATCAAGTGTGCAAGACCCATTGCAAATGCAAACAAAGCAAAGCAAAAAGCAATACAGCATCTTGAAAAGCAGAGACATCACCTTGCCGACAAAAGTCCGAATAGTCAAAGCTATGGTTCTTCCTGTCGTGATGTATGGAAGTGAGAGCTGGACCATAAAGAAAGCAGACCGCCGAAGAATTGATGCCTTTGAATTGTGGTGCTGGAGGAGACTCTTGAGAATCCCCTGGACTGCAAGGAGAACAAACCTATCAGTTCTAAAGGAAATCAACCCTGAGTGCTCACTGGAAGGACAGATCCTGAAGCTGAGGCTCCAGTACTTTGGCCATCTCATGAGAAGAAAAGAGTCCTTTGAAAAAACCTTGATGTTAGGAAGGTGTGATGGCAAGAGGAGAAGGGGACGACCGAGGATGAGATGGCTGGACAGTGTCTGCGAAGCAACCAACATGAACCTGACACAACTCCGGGAGGCAGTAGAAGACAGGAGGGCCTGGCGTGCTCTGGTCCATGGGGTCACGAAGAGTCGGACACGACTAAACGACTAAACACACAACACACACAACACACACACACACACACATTCACTTTACCTGTCAGTGGTTTTAATGTTCTGTGTACAGCTGACAGTATCAGTGGTTTAGTTATGGGAAAATCTGTATACATGATATTTATTAAATAAGTTTTTGCATGAGGTATCTATGATATGGTGTTAAACTTTTTCCATAGAGCACTGCTAGATTGTCATGTACAGTAAGCAAGTGTCATGAGTGTATACAGGCACAGGGGGATAATCTTATCCAGAATCCCAAATGCATGAATGATTTTAATGGTGCACAGTGCACTGTGTTGCAGCAGTGCATGCAGTGTGCACAAATTATGCTCAAAACCCACTATTCAGCTTTGATCATGCTTAAAAAAATGCCCTTGACAGGAGTCCCATGAAACTTTTCCATCTTCCATCTTCCTTCAAAACAACAGTAAGATTGAGACATATGATAACTTGGAAAAGTTAGTGCCAAGAAGGACAGGGGAGATCATTATTAGAAAGGTCAGTAGCTGCACAGGAGTAAAGATATTTATATATTTTTAGAAAGGAACGGACAGGGAAATAGGTATGGAGAGCATCATTAAACTTTTCTCCAACTAGTTCGGGACTCCATAATTTCAATACATACTTTGTGAGATGCTACTTGTACTGCTAAAAAAATCTGGAATGAGAATGCTAAGCAAGTTAGTATTTGGATCAACATAATAAAGAACACGTGGTCTTCTCTTATAAAAGCTATGCAAAAATAAGGTGGTATATGTACATATACATATACTTAACTATACATAATGGAAGGTGTGGAAACATAATCTATTGACTAATTTCTAACCCTAAATTAGAAGTAACATGAGAATGCAGGAAGAACTTCCAACAGACGGCATATTAAAAAAAATCACTGATTGCAGAGTTAATACAAGAAAAGTTTACATGACTGACCATTGGTGATGAATGAATGGGACTGGCTATGCAGTCATCTAGTACAAGGATTATTATAGAGCTCTGTAATAATCCTTGTACTAGAATATACATTATACTATTGGTTAAACTGCTAAATAGTGTCTGTGCATGTGGGGGACATTCAATGAACTCATAATCCACCATGATTGAAAATAAGCTATAAAATCTTGTGGTACCTTAAAGACCAAAAAGATGTATTTGGCATAGGTTCTCATGGAATTTAGCCCACTTTTTCATATGTATAAACTCTCCCTCCCTTGAACATTTCATCAACCACCAGTGACTATGGAGGTAGTATACGCCAGTGGTCCCCAACCTTGGGCCTCCAGATGTTCTTGGACTTCAACTCCCAGAAATCCTGGCCAACAGAGGTGGTGGTGAAGGCTTCTGGGAGTTGTAGTCCAAGAACAACTGGAGGCCCAAGGTTGGGGAACACTGGTATAAGCCATTCCTTGCTGGTGTTTCTAGCTCATGTCTGGCAGTAATCACTGCAAGTGTCTTAGTAGAAGTTGCACCCCTGCATCAAACCATTAGACTAGTCTGTCTTTTTCAATAGTATCCAGTCAATAAAAGATACTATTGAAAGACTAAAGAGGAACAGCCCCTACACTAACAAGCATAATAATAGATACTCTAAAGATTTTATAAAGGTTACTGCCAGCGCATAATAGTTTCTAGTCAAAAAATTTCTAGACACCAGACTTTACCAAGGACTGTATGGAATATTCTTTAGTTCTCTCCCTGTCAGTGCTGAAAGTTTTAAACATAGCATTTAGAACAACAATAAAATTGTCTTCAAGATGGAATTCATCACGATGCCGACAGAGTCCTTCTGCTCTGCATTTATCCTTGAGCCCGTTATATTTGGAACTTATTGCTTTTTTTGTATTATTTAGACTTCTAGAAAATGATTAAAATTCTATTACCAACAGCTGCCTGGCAGAATAGTGCTAGTACATTTTTATTAGTTCACATACTCATGAGCTCTTTAAAGCATTTTCTATAAAAGCATTATTAAAAAGTGTATTTAACTGTATTTCTTCAACAGATAGTCATATTTAATCATGCCTTTATTTATTTACAGTGGGGTCTTGACTTGAGAACTTAATCCGTATTGGAAGGCGGTTCTCAAGTCAAAAAGTCTGTAAGTCAAGCCGTCTGTAAGTCAAGGGTCCACTGTATTTAAAATGTCCTTCCCAGATAGAGTCAAAGGGTAATTAGTATTTTGCTTTCAGTGTACCAAAGACATGGCAGCTAAGATAATAAATGGCTATCAAAAATATATACTGCTTACAGTTAAAACCATCCTTTAAAAAAGAAGATATTCACCCCTTTTAAGTAGAATAACGGTAGCATGTCTGCGGCCATATCCATTTTCAACATAACATGAGTAATTCCCAAGGTCTCCTTCTTCCACTGAATCAAGAATTAACGAAATGGAAACTTCCTGTTCTCCAAGGTGTTCCTTAAGAACTCTGGTGAAAGAAAAGAAAACATTTTTCATACATATACCATTGTTTATACAATGCCACAAGGAAAGATAATCCTGACATCATATTTTTGACAAACCAAAGCACGCTGATTTCAGCTTTGGCTGCGGTTTGATGCAGTCTTAATTAAATTACGTGATGTCCTTTTCTTCTTCACCGTTAATGAGGATGTTTGATTTTGTAGCTGCTAATAAGAGGAGCAATTAATCTGGCATCCTTAGACACATTCAGATGAGCTATTAGAAGCTGTGTACCAAAAAAATTGGGGAAAAGAGTTACATTGTATTTTGAAAAAAACTTTGAATGGGATTTTTCCTTTTGAAATTATGATATACAAAAGGGATGCATATCCTTGTTGATTTCATTCTTGCAGGTGAGAACAACCATTTTCCAATTTCTCATTGGTGGATGAAATTTCAGGAGTTTCTATGCTTTCCCCTCCCCCATTTCAGGACATGGGTAGTGGTAAGTTCATGCTAAATATTTCTTTCTACAAAAACATTGTATATTCCACAGAAAACTTTAACTTTTGCAACTTACTTACTTACTTACTTACTTACTTAATAGTTTACTCTATATCACAGCAAGTTCATGCTAAATATTTCTTTCTACAAAAACATTGTATATTCCACAGAATACTTTAACGTTTGCAATTTTAGCTCCCCTTTGTTCCTTTTACTCTGGCAACACCCTTCCTGCTTGTGTAGCCTCCCAGTTTGTTCCTTTTATTCTGGCAACACCCTTCCTGCTTGTGTAGCCTCCCAGGACACCACCCTGATTCCTAAACTACTCTCCTCTCCCAATAAATATTGTATTTGTTAACTATAGGTAAGCATAATGTTTGTTTTTAACACTTTGAGTCCACGTTTTGGGAGAAATACAGCAGATAACTAAAATGAAACAAAATGAAATTGCCTGTTTCCCTCTTCTAAATATTTTCTTTGCCTTCGATATGCTACATTCTCAATCAGACCCTGGTTTCTTCTGTTCTCCATGTATACTCCTCTGTAGAAGCCAAGCAGCTCAACAGTAGCTACTCTGGGGACAGAAGTAATAATTCAAGATGTGGAAATGTGAGTGGGTTAAAGACAACTTAAGAGGGGTGGTGAACAAGCAGCTCTGAAAAATACAAAGTCAGTGCAAAACTATCAGCCAGCTCCAGCCAAATCTGAAAGCAAGGTCACTATACAATAAAATTGCCTTGTAAAAGGGTTTACATCAGCCAGCTCCAGCCAAGTCTGAAAGCAAGGTCACTGTACAATAAAATTGCCTTGTAAAAGGGTTTATTTCATGGTTGACAGTTCAGCGTAGAGAGAATTGAAAGTGTATTAAAATATGTGGTTTATAATATGTAAAATGTTTTGATGTGTTAATATGACTGGTAGGTAGCATTTCCAGATCTTTTGTGACATGCTATACTTTATTTTACTAGACCTTGTATTTTACACCCAGTGTAACCCACAGGATGAGCAAATGCTAGTCAAAATAATAATGTCCATTGTCATGGTGGCATCTTGTCAGATTCTGATTTACAGGAATTATATTTGCAGGAGTTGCAAAAGCAATAGAAATTTCAATTATAATTTTTTTGTTGTTGTGAATCAAGACTCTGTAAGTTACAGATCCAGGAACAAAGAAGGTTGACAGTTGGGGGTGGGGGAATACAGATATAAACAATGGCCATAAAAGATAGGAAGGGCAAGAAGTTTAGGATGGGAAGAGAGCACGAGCAGAAGGAAGAAAAGTCTGCTAGGGTTGTAAAGCAAAATTTATATACTGATGTGATCTTGTATTTGTTCATGATCTAATCTATCAGTTATGTAGTCTGCTAAGTTGCTTCCTTAGATGTGACTAAATCGAGAGTTTTCCAATAGTTGTTGTAGGTTTTTCGGGCTGTTTGACTGTGTTCTGGAGGTTTTTCTTCCTAATGTTTCGCCAGTCTCTGTGGCTGGCATCTTCAGAGGACAGGAGTTAGAACTCTGTCTGTGTCCTGGTGTAGTGTGTGGGATGGTACACTGAAAGCAACTATCCCACACACTACACCAGAACACACACAGAGTTCTAACTCCTGTTCTCTGACGATGCCAGCCACAGAGACTGGTGAAACATTAGAAAGAAAAACCTCTGGAAAACGGCCAAACAGCCCAAAAAACCTACAACAACCATTGCCTCCCTGCCGTGAAAGCCTTCAAGGATACGGTTTTTCAATAGTTCTATAGTACTTTTAAATAATTATTAAGTATCTGTAGCATTTTAGTTGAAGTCTTATTATCAAATTATTAAATTGTGTTAGAGTACTTGTATTTTCCATTCTCTGATCTGACAATGAGAGTCACATAACTGTTGTCCTGCCTGGCCCCTTTGTGTATTGAGGCAACTCAACACATCACAACCACAGGCTTCATCATAATTGGTGCCACAACATTTTTTGGAACATTACACTCTAGACTGAATTGTGTAAATTTGAAAATGTAAACATAGATGATGTTAGATTTCCTGCTGTCTAATGTATGAAGACTGAAGCCAAATAGTATCAGATATGCTTGTCCCTTCATGGAAAATTACTGAAATGAGCACTATAATATTAAAATGTGGCCGTAAAGTAGCTCTTTGTTTTGTTTTAGAATATATATAGGGCACCACTTGGACAGATACTAATAAGAAGAAAGAATAAAACACAACTGGGAAGTAGTGCATTATGACTCAGGGCACTAATTACATTTTTGGATAATGCTGGTTAATATTTCTTGGGTCTTATTTTCAGGATCCAAGGGTATATTGGAGATAAGGATGTATGGAATGAGTTGGACTGCAGATATATGGACTTGTGGTATGGACTGTAGAATTGTGGAATAGAATGTCCTACCTATCAAATGGGATGGAAGAATCTTTGGTTTTGTTTGTAAATGCCATGATTGACTGCTCGCTGTTAGGAAAGAGAGCAGAAGGGTTTTTTTAGGTCTAGATTTTTAAATTTTGAATGGATAAAAGAACAGAAACATGGCTGCTGTGTTGACAAGGCCTTGGCCAAGCTAAAACTCATTGGAATAGTATGGGCAAGATTTGAAGTTGGGTACTTTCAATTTGCCCAGAATATACCCAGATGGCTGTAATCATGCCATTTGCCTCAGGACAAAGGGATGCTGCTTCTGGATAATGAAAGAAAGTGGTGTAATGTACCTTTTTCTTCCTAACATAACCAATTTGTGGACAACATAAAATTGGAACAGCTAATACCCTGAAGACAAGAATAAAATTCATATAGATCTGGACAGGCTTGAGCACTGGGCTGAAAACAAAAGAATTAAATTTAAGAGGAATTAGTGCAAAGTTCTACACCTGGGGAAAAAACCCAAAAGCACAAGTACAAGATGAGGGATACTTGACTCAGTAACAGTATGAATGAGAAAGATCTTGGAATAATCAAAAATCACAAGCTGAATATAAGCCAAAAAAAAAAGGGCAATGCTATTTTATGATGAATTAACAGAAGTATAGTTTCCAAATCCTGTGAGGTACTAGTTCCCCTCTATTCAGCACTGTAGAGTATTGTGTCGAGTTATGGATAGTGCACTTTAAAACATATACCAACAAACTGGAACAAGTTCAAAGGAGGCAACAAGGATGAACAGAGGATTTGGCTGAATATCAGGAAAAAATCTCTTAATTGTTACAGCAGTATGACAATGGAACCAATTTCCTCGAGAGATGGTGAGCGCTCCAAAGCTGGAGGCGTTCAGAAGAAAACTGGACAACCATCACTTAGATCTGCTTTGATTTGTACTACTGCATTAAGCAGGGACTTGGACCCAATAGCCTTATAGACCCCTTCCAACTCCATTATTCTGTGATGTTACTAACATAGAAGTGAGGAGGGGGAAAGGGGCCAATATAAATGTAGGACAATTGGGACTGTCAGTGGAACAGAAAGCAATTGCATTTGTATAGAGGGGCACACTTTTTCAGTTCATTTTTTTTTCCTCACATAATTTTACTTTGCCCTCCCAATCCCAGAATAAAGCACGAAACAGTGGTATGGGTTAAATATGAGCCACACTTTATTAATATACATTCAGATTCAAAATTTTCATTCTTTGTAAAAAGGAGGGGTCCTGCTGTAGTGTGGAAACAGTTAAATGACGTGAGTATCTAAATACCCCTTGATCAATGATGAGGCGGGTCCCCAGGCTCCAGCAATCTTAAGGACAGCAGGGCGGGTCCCCGGCCCCCAGGCTCCAGCAATCTTAAGGACAGCAGGAACATGGCCGGCTGCTAATAAAACACCCCCAGACCTCGACCCCCCTTTCTTCGAGGGGGGTTAGTACGGAAGTGGCCCAGCGCATCTTCCCGCCACAGGCACTGTAATCGCACGATCTGCAGTGCCAGACAGATGGATGTGCTGTTGGCTTACTTGAAATTACAGCGGTACCGGCAATAAATAGCTGTTTTTTCTGCACTACCCGCCAACGATAAATAGCTGTTTTTTCTGCACTACCTGCCAGTGTGACCAAAATTTATTCCACCAACTTGCCAACAACCCTCATCCAGTGTGGGATAGGCAAAAAACTCCCCCATCCGAAGGCCAATCAGGATGAAGGTCAAAATTCCTATCCAGCCCCTTAAAGGTGACCAGAAGAACTCACACTAGAAATAGAGAGGGTGGGTGGGTGCCCAAAAAGAAGAGGGCATTCTAGAAGGGAAAGTCCCTTAAGTAACCTTGCTTTCCCCTCCCACATATGAGTCAAATGAGACTAATCCGTCTTGCAATATCCCGGGTGTAAAGCAAAAGCCAGCCTTGCTGTTTGAGGTCCAAGGACCCTCCAGTGGCTGGAGCATTTTTATTTTTATTTTTTGCAGATTATTCTTGCTTTGCAGTCTTTTGGCCTTAGTTTATTTTTTAGCCTTAACTTTGAAAGAAAAATCTGTTTTTTTACAGAGAATAAGACTAATTTTCTGAAATTCCTCTTCTTTTATCTTTCGTTTATTTTTCTCTCATGGCACACCTACCCACACACCTACCCTGGTGAAACCCAGACTGAATTCTTTTATTTTACATTTCTTTTAATTTTCTTATCTGATTTTTTTCTGGAGTCATCCACATTCACTGGAGTCTTCAGGAGTCTGCTATCACGAACAGATAGCTATAAATCTTTCTCTGCTTTTCGACTAAAGACTTTTAAACAACTAGGAACACAGCAACTGGTGAAAAATTAAGGGGAAAATGCAGTGTTTTATAAAGGGTTAACCATGGCTAAACTGGTGTTTTATATAATAATTTAATAGCTGCATTGCATATTGTCTAAAATTAACTGGTTTATCTCTGATCTTCCATGCACTGTGCCTTCATGATCTTATTCCCTGTTTATCTGTTGTGGTATGAATAAATCTTTAAACTGATTGCACTTGTGAATAGCTGAGACCATATACATACCTCTTGCCAACCCAGGCAAACTATGAACTTCTTTTTCAGTAAGCACTGTTCTCCTCACCCACCCCCAAATTCCAGTGTTAATGAAATGTCCCATTTCCCCTTTTCAACCAAAATTCAAGCAGAGTGGGACACATATGGCTGTTCTGCAAATCTGTTAGCACTCTAGGAAGCTTGCTAGAAGCACTAATGGTTTGTAAACAAGCCACATGGATGACCTGTGCACCTTATTTTACAAATTTGTTAGTATTTCTGGGAGGTATCCCAGAGTGCTATTAGTCTTGTAGAGTAGCTACATATGTCTCAGGCTGATGAAAGAAGCAAATGTTAGTTTTTGCTACCAGCATTGCAAATTCAGTGGTAACACTGAGAGGGACATTTCAGGCCTTTAAAGGGATTTAGTTTTAAAAAATGTCAAAAAGCATGCAATGGACATGTTCCATTGCTGGTTACTGGAGCTGCACGCAATACTAATCAGTAGCACACTACTTGCGAAAAACAAGTGGGTAACAAGTAACATGGTGCTGGCCAAATCCTGTTTGATATTTATGCACATGCAAGAGGAACCATGGAATTTGGGCAGCAAAGTGTGGCTAACTGACATGGTGCTGGTGATGTGCAATTAACTGCACAATTAAGCTCATGACCGGGACCTCATCAATTAGCTCTGCCGACTTCTGTGATTTCTTTTGTGCACACATTCATCTGCAATAGAATTCTGGCCACCATCTCCAAACTCTTCTGCCTTATGTGAACTGATGGCCTGATCACATGAGGCAAGTGTTCCCTAGTTAGATTGTTGTATAAATTCCTGGTCACATGATGCACAGCCATTATCGCATCATTTCCCCAGCCAGTCCTATAACTGCAGTTTCTTTCCACCTTGCTGAGACTGTTGTGTTATTTTGTTCTGATGACATCTCGGAACATTCTTTACCAGTATTGCATATGTGAACATCATTCCTGCTGGGGAAAACAGAGAAGGAAGAGTGGCTAGGACCAAGACACCACTGGAAAGAAGCACGCCTACCCCATGGGGCTTGGTGCAGGGCAGTGGGGGTAATGCCCAGCCTTTGCCAGTGAAGAGAGGGTGTGAAAAGGAGAAGGGAGAGTGACCAGGACCAAGGCACCACTACAAAAACACATGGCCACCCTGTGGGGCTCAATGCAGGGGTAGGGCCAGGTACCCCTGGCCAGAGAGAGAATAGGTTAGAGACTTTATATCTTTTTATTTAATATATATCTATAAAGTAAGGGGCTGCACTGCCCCAGGTAACAAGACAGAAAGTAAATCACAGGGTAGCCAGCCATAATATTTCAAATAGGAAGAAATGAACTGGCAACATTAAAACGGGAACACTTGTCTAGGTACATATGACATCTGATTGTGATTCAATGCACCAGAGGTATGGAAAGTATTGTTAGAGAAATGAACTGGCAACATTAAAATGGGAACACTTGTCTAGGTACATATAACATCTGATTGCACCAGAGGTATGGAAAGTATTGTTAGACATGTGGAACATTTGCCTTGTGTGATCAGGCCCGGAGGAATGATAGAATGATGCTCTGGGATTCAGAGTATTGTGTACCAATGCTCAGATGGCATTCACATGCCACTATGTTCATGCTCCTTAAAACTAGCTTTCTAAGCTCTGATACGGAGAAGCAAAAGCATTTAGAGAAACTATCTTAACTCTTTGTTTTTTCACTTACATATCAATTTGCTACACGTTGCCTCATGATTTTGCTTATACAATCTATTTCCATTCTATAGTAAGCAAGGCTGGGGGAAAAGGTAGCTTAAGAAAATATTTCACATCTTGGAAGGGGGCAGGACACATGCCAAGAAGGCTTTGTCTATTGAGTATCCAGACCTCCACCTCCTCTGCCCACGTCTCCAGCCTCCAGTTTCCTCCCTATCAGATACTGGAGTTGAAATATCAAAAAAGAAACAATGGTGAAAAGGTGTGAGGAAGCAGGACCTGTGAGATGTGGCTCTGCTTTCAAATTTGGGGAAAAATCGAATCCTTCCTATGTCCCTTGGGTCACCATCAAAGGGACAATAGGATACCAGCCTTATTTAATCTCAACATGTATAAGATATTACGCTTTATAGAGAAAGCCTTTGTTTTTCTTGTAGATCTATTTTAATCAGGTTATGCACGTGGCCTGAGTAAGCAATGTACCGTATCATTTAATGTAGTAGCAGTGAATTCTCTTCTAACATCAACAAAATAATTACATTTTATGTATCAAACACCTCCACTACTGAGTAGCATGCCAACTGCTCAGTAATGAAGCTAAGTTCCTCCTCCCTCATAGTCTGTCTTTTTATATATTTTTTAAAATTCTATGAATATCATGGAAATGTAGGAAGCTAGCTTACCCCACTTCAAACTATTTGTCCATTTAGCTGTTATTTTAAATTAGATACCCCCACTTCATTTGTTCATAGTTCATAATGATATTTAAATGATCTTCCACTACAAGGAGGTCTCCCAATACCTGCCTTAGATAAATGACTGGGGATGTTATTCCTTGAAAAAAATCATAATTGATTTCAGGAGGAAAAGGGGGATTCATACAACACCATCTGCCTTGCTAATTCCATGTACAGTTTTCTTCCCTTCTCTTTAGACTCCAGCATGAACACATCAACCCTGAGTGTTCACTGGAAGGACAGATCCTGAAGCTGAGGCTCCAGTACTTTGGCCATCTCATGAGAAGAGAAGACTCCTTGGAAAAGACCTTGATGTTAGGAAAGTGTGATGGCAAGAGGAGAAGGGGACGACAGAGGATGAGATGGCTGGACAGTGTCATCGAAGCAACCAACATGAATTTGACACAACTCCGGGAAGCAGTGGAAGATAGGAGGGCCTGGCGTGCTCTGGTCTGTGGGGCATGAAGAGTCGGACATGACTGAATGACAGCGACAAATAATGACCAAACCCATGACCAATGACCTACTAATTTCACTAAATCAAATAGTCCATCCACTCCTCATTAATGGCAAATATGAAAATTGCCACAAGAAATTAGAACTTAAACTTGAAAGAAACAAGGAACTGGAGGCCATTTATTATAAAAATCTATTGGTATCTACAAAAAAAAATGGCAAGACTGAATCATACCTGCATAGGACAGATAAAACATTTTGACACAGTAACAAAGAAGAGGCTCCATGATTGTTTGGATAATTGTCTTGTTTCAGGATTCTAAAAATTTAGATAAAGGCATGAGTGATTGCTATTTTGAAACATGATAATCAACCCAACAAACACAAAAAACTTCAGTCCACTCTCACACTTGTATCTTTAGAAAGCCATGATATGATATGTAACCATCTAAGGAAAGTAGTGGAACAATTCCTCATTGCACAAAAGGCTTTAGACCTGAGAAAAATCGTACTGCAGAAATCCTACATTTAACAGGGAAACTAAAGAAACCTGGGATATGATCAAGTTTGAGCAATGCAATGTAATAGTTTTTGCCTGAAGTGGAGCCCAAATGGCATTCCAAAATCCTGCTAAAGCCAGAGGCTTTAAGTCTTGCTATGTCATTCCTATGTAAATTCATGCCTTCTTTGTCATGGTGCTGCCTGAAGCTGGTTGCTTCATCCTTGCTGTAAGGGGCAGGTCAGCCTTGAGCTGCGGCCTAAAGCCCACTGAGAAGAGATATGATCTTCTAAGGAAGGTTTGTATTCAAGACCTAGGAGATAGCCTTAGAAACCAGCTTCCAGTTGAAGAGACTGTAGCCTGTCCTGTGGAGAGAGGGTAAGTCTGCCTCTGAGATAAGTATGGCAAAGGTAAAATTTAAAGTGGTTTTCTATGAAAGACTCATTAATATCTGTATGATTTGGAAAGAAAACATATTTGGAAGCAAAATATTTTAGGATTCCTTTTTCTCTTCATTTGTGGAAATCTCTGCAAACGAGCTCACCTCAGCTCACTGAGATGTTCCAAATAATCTCCACCATTATTAGAATTCTTGAAAGCCTAGACTCCTTATTTTACATATGTGCCCTTGGGATATTAGCAAATGCACTTGTAATAGTGGCAGGCAGGAAAGCATAAAAACGGGGGAGGAATGAGTGGAAGGTCTTGGAACTATTTGTAGAAAGATTATATCATTGTTCAGTGCCTGGTGTTGCCTGCTCATAGGTTTTATACCAGGATTGGGAAATGACTGCATTATCACAGTAATTTGCAGAAAACACTTTGTAATTTTGGCTGGTATTTTAATTATTTGAGTAGCTCCTTTTGCTCAGAATCCATTTCTTTCATTAAAAAGCAAATTATTGAACCAGTGGTTTGAGAAATAATTGTGCACATGTCACAGAATACATTTCTGAAGCCAATCTCAGTGCTCACCCCTCAGAAAAGCAGGCCTCTGGTGATTTAATACACTCTATTAAGGTCTATTGCTTTCTCTACATAGTGTTGTATTCATTACGGTGAATGAGAGATTAGACTTGACAAAATATATACAATGTCCTCCTTTTACCTGATATCACTTTCCCAAACCCGACTTTCATCCAAATCCTCAATAAACTTCTCGCCTTTCATCCAGTACATTAAAGGGCTGACTTCTCCGCTGTATCCGAAAAATGCTCGACAGGTAAGATTAGCAGAGTGGCCTGTTGAAGTGAATTAATAAGGAAAATATGTTATTCCAGAGCTGGCAAAAAGGTTTCTTTATCGACAGCTAAGTAGGGCTCTCTCATAAAAACCCAACAAAGCATTACTTACCCTTAACATTCATGACCATTTAGAAACAATTTGTGACCCAGTGATGTTCAAACTACTACCAGAAACATTTTCAGTGAGTGGATGGAATAGACCAATCAGTTACAAGAGAAAAGAGGAGTCCATTTCTTTCATAATGGATGTACACAGAAAGATTGTATATGTTCTTTGTTTAAAATATCATTTATGCACATTCCCCATTGCCCAAATCCAAACAATCTAATCCACAGAACCTTAAAATCCTGCCCTGAACATTGACCCTTACACAATAATTTTAAATACTATTGTCTAGTACTGCTAGAGACTCAAAGCTTATTTGCCACCAGTAATTATGCTTGTTGCTGTAACAGGTACTCCTAATATGCCGAAAATGATCTACAAGCCATGTTTTGACCTTACTGAAAATAGGATGATACTATAAAGAACATTTGCAGAGGGAGCAGAACCAGAAGGGTCAGCCTGTGAGCTAGCTTTGGTGAATAGTGCCACAGTGTACCTCAGTCACATCAAGTATCACATTGTGGTTATGTAATATGATTCCTGGAAAAATCATTGTTTTAGCATGGAGGAGACTGACCAGCAGTACAAATTAGACAGCATTCCACATTGGTCCCAAGAGTCAAACTGTGCCCACATAATGCAACCCCTTGCCTTCATACCCCCCTCCATTTTTGAAAGAATAAAAGCTTTGTTGTTGTGGGGTTTTCAGGCTCTTTGGTTGTGTGCTGAAGGTTGTTCTTCCTAACGTTTTGCCAGTCTCTGTGGCTGGCATCTTCAGAGGACAGCACTTCAGAGGAGAGCACAGAGTGCTGTTTTGTGCTGTCCTCTGAAGATGCCGGCCACAGAGACTGGCGAAATGTCAGGAAGAACAACCTTCAGAACACAGCCAAAGAGCCCAAAAAACCCACAACAACCATTAGATCCCAGCCGTGAAAGCCTTCACGAATACAATAAAAGCTTCTTTGGCTCCTTAGGCCCAGCGGTAGAGTATTTTGTAAGGTCTGGGTCCCACACAGTACAGAATGTGTGAGGGCATTTATAACTTTTTTTAAAGTTAAAGAATGATGTGGGAGGGGAGGGGTGGCTCATGTGAAGAATGGTTCATTCTTAATAGTTTATTTGTGGTGAGGCAGCATGCATTAAGACCTAAGCAAACTGTACTTTTGTATCCTGCACATATAAAAACATCTGGTTTCCTGGGCTTTTTGTGAAATACATGAAAACAATGCTGGATGCACACTATGGCTATGTCATTTGGAATTACTAACTTATGTATGTATGTATGTATGTATGTATGTATGTATGTATGTATGTATGTATGTATGTATGTATGTATTTATTTATTTATTTATTTATTTATTTATTTATTTATTTATTTATTTATTTATTTAACGTATATGCGGCATCCACTACCCAAAGGTCTCTGGGCGGCTTACAACAATTTAAATACAGTCAAAAAGATAAAACAATTAAAATATATACTGTACAATTGCCATCAGGACTCACAGATGATATTATTTCAATTAAAAGCCTCCTGGAACAGGAAGGTTTTGACCTGGCACTGAAATGTCATCAGTGTCGGCGCCAGACAAATCTCAGTTGGGAGGGAGTTCCATAGTCTGGGGGCAGCTGCCAAAAAGGCCCTTTGTCTACAAGCCATCTCTCTTTTTCCTCCTTAAGGGACGGCTCTTTCAAAAGGGCCCCCTGGCTAGATCTTAACTGTCGGGTAGGTTCATATGGAAGGAGGCGGTCCTTCAGGTATCCTGGGCCCAAGCCGTTTAGGGCTTTATATGTCAAAACAAGCACTTTGAATTAGGCCCAGGCAGCAACTGGTAGCCAATGTAACTTATACAGAATCGGCTTGATGTGTTCCTTAGTGGCACCACCACTCACCAGCCGTGCAGATCGATTCTGGATCAGTTGCAGTCGCCGGACCATTTTCAAAGGCAGCCCTACCTAGAGCGCATTGCAATAATCTATGTGAGATGTTACCAGTGTGTGTGTAACTGTCATGAGACTCTGCTCGTCCAGGTAAGGCCATAGCTGGTATAATTTCCGCAGCTGAAAGAAGGCGCCCCTGGCCACTGAGTCCATCTGGACTTCCAGAGTTAGACTGGGGTCCAGGAGCACCCCAGGCTGTGGACCCTGTGCCTTAGGGGGAGTGCAACCCCATTCAGCGCAGGGAAATGGCCCTCCAGCCTGTCTGGCGAAGCACCCACTAACAGCACTTCCGTCTTGTCTGGATTGAGTTTCATTTTATTAACCCTCATCCAGTCCATTATCAGGTCTAAATGACATGAGTTCAGCACAGAAACCACCTCACATGGATTGGTGAAAAATGAGAGGTAGAGCTGAGTATCATCAGCATATTGCTGACTCCTCGGCCCAAACCTCCTGATGACCTCTCCCAGCGGTTTCATGTAGATGTTAAACAACATGGGGGACAGTATCGAGCCCTGAGGAACCCCATGACATAAATGCCATGGGGCAGAGCAACTGTGTCCCAGAACCACCATCTGGACATGGTCAGCAAGGAAGGAGCAGAACCACTGTAAAGCGGTGATCCCCAACTCCCAACCCAGCCAACCTATCCAAAAGGACACCATGGTCGATGGTGTCGAAAGCCGCTGAGAAGTCCAGGAGTATCAACAGGGTCACACTCCCTCTGTCTCTCTCCCGGCAAAGGTCAGCATACAGGGCGACCAAGGCAGTCTCTGTACCAAAACCCAGCCTGAAACCCAATTGAAATGGATCCTGAAAATCCGTTTCATCCAGCAGCGCCCATAGTTGCCCAGCCACAACCCGCTCCAACTCTTTGCCCAACTAAGGGAGGTTCGCAACTGGTCTGTAGTTAACCACCATCCTTGGGTCCAGGTTAGGCTTTTTTTAGGAGTGGCTGAATTACCACCTCTTTCAAGGTGGTAGGGACCACTCCCTCTCTCAAAGAGGCGTTCACGGCCTCCTGGACCCAGGTGCGAACCCCCCTGGCTGATCTTCCAATTAGCCAGGATGGGCAAGGGTCGAGTGGAGTGATGGTATAATGGACAGATCCAAGCACCCTGTCCACATCCTCGGGTCTCAACAACTGAAACTCATCCATTAATACTTGACCTAAGCACGGCAAACTGGATACATCCTTTGATTCTGCACTAATGGTGGAGTTCAACCCACTGCAAATCTGAGTGATTTTTCCCTCAAAATGAATGGCAAACTCATCACAGCGAGCTGATGAACAGTCCAGGACCTCCACTGGATTTCCCAGTTGAAGAAGATCCCAGACCACCCAAAACAGCTCTGCTGGATGACATTCTGAGGAAGCAATACAGCTGGAGAAATATTGCTGTTTTGCCAGCTGTATTGCCACAAAATAGGCCCGATAATGGGCTCTGTCATGTTCAACAAACTTAATGGATTTGTATTGTTGCTGCTGTCATTAAATGTATTGTTGTTGTTGTTGTTGTTGTTGCGGCTGCTGCTGCTGCTGCTGCTACTACTACTACTACTACTATCACTATCATCATCATCAGTAATAGTAGAAGCAGTAATGGGTATCCAGTGTGGTTTACTGGATAGAGTAATGGACCAGGACTTAGGAGACCTAGTTTGAATCACTATTGGGCCTATTGTCAAGCGACCACTCCTTAAATACCTCACTTAGTTGATGGCCACACTTCCTCACCATGTTGCAGTGCTGTGCCTGGACTTGTTTGTTTTTTATTGGGACTATTCTGCAACAGGCTGCACTCCTGTACTCTACTAGTACTACTGCCTCAGTTCAGGACAGTTCAAGAGTTTTATCTATCACTGCTGTTAGCCTATCTGTAAACTGTTCCACTGTCTACCATCTCAGACCCTGTTGTTGTTGTTGTTGTTGTTGTTGTTGTTGTTGTTGTTGTTGTTGTTGTTGTTGTTGTTGTTGTTGTTGTTGTTGTTGTTGTTGTTGTTGTTATCAGTAGCAACATTCAAAATAACCCACACATACTGTACATCACTATTTTTGATAGGGGGGCCTGGCAATATATGTTGCTTTGCCACCAACTCCTCCCCCCGCCACTAAATAGTATTGAATTGTTTCCCCATCTAATTAGGACCTGAGTTTTATATCCAATACAGTGGACCCTCGACTTACAGATGGCTCGACTTACAGACTTTTCGAGTTACAGACTTCTCTGGCGTCAAAATTTAGATTCGACTTGCAGCCAGAGAATCGACTTACAAACCAGAAAAAAACCAAAATGGAATAAAAATAAAATAAAAACCACTGGTTATGGGATTAATCGGTTTTCAATGCATTGTAGGTCAATGGAGATTCGACTTACAGACTTTTCGACTTGCAGCCACCATTCCAATATGGATTAATTCCTTAAGTAGAGGGTCCACTGTACAAGGATTGCCCCAGAAATATTTTCAGGCGGCCTTTATTCCACTGAAGAATGCTGGGCCCATGCTCATTGATGAGCTTTTTGTAGCATCCACCTTTAATAAACATGATGATATAGGCATGCACATGGTACACAATAACATAATCTTAGAACTGCAGAGCTGGAAAGGACCCTTTGGATTATCAAATCCAGTCACTATCAAGGAGGCCCAGTGGGGAATCAAACTCCCAACCTCTGGCTCCACAGTCAGATGCCTAAACCACTGAGCTATCATCAGTTCCTATCAGATTCCCCCATTAGTTCCCATGCAAGTCATCCCAGCTTCATCTTGCACAGGGGGCTGCTGGTTTGTGATTTTGCCTCATATAACAGTATTTTTGAAAACATCCTTTGGAGACTGAAGCTGGATTTTTCCACACCTCTGATTCTTTACCAAAACTGATTTCGGTGCAACAGGAATTAGGACAGTTCAAGAGTTTTATTTATTCACAAAGGCTTCCTGTCAAAGC